ACAGAGCTAGGGTTTCAAACCCTCAGCGGCTGCTTGCCTAGTACTCAAATATTGGCCGAGCATCCGCCTGGGAGAAGCTAAGGACTCTAGCTTGGGTCACACAAAGAGGGCCCGGAGTGGCTCAACCTCGTCCCCAGGGCGTTTTTCCCTGGCTCAACCTTGTACCAGAGACTTTTCTAGCGCGGTTTCGGCCTTCGGCCAATACCGAAAATCCCGCCGCTCGAGAGAAAAACCTCTGTTACCCAGGGTAATGTTCTACGGGGCCCGTGTGTAAGAGAGGTAAACAACCATTGAGTTGCATACGATCAACGGGAGACCCAGCTCACTTTAGCCTTTCCATAGACGTTTTTTTCTGTTCTTCGAAGTACTTGACTTGCGTGGAAAGAGGAGCGCGAGAAAAAGGAACATTTTCTCCTCTCCCTATCCTCGCCTTCTTGCGCTTGTGATCGATAAATACCTCGCAGTTTTTATTTTCATATGCACGCTTGACGATCTCTAAGGAGAAAATAGAGGGTCTGTTAACACGCTAAACCCACTTTGTCGTGTTATTTTTTATCTACCGAACAACACAAGTTTTCAAAAAGTCAGTTATTGCCATTTAATAGTCCTATCAGTAGCCCTGTACCTCTCAAACAACTCATGTGTCTACGACTACGTTCCCCGGGACATCGTATTCAACCCCGGCCTCATCAAAAAGTTATAATTTTACTTTTAAAAAATATTGTTTCAATTGAACAGAGATCAGCGTGAGGATAGGCTTAATTTTCTTTTGAGTCACAACACTAATCGAGAGCACGCGTGAAAGGCGAGCGGCGAAGCTGCGAGGAACTATGGCGGAGCGAAGAAAAAAATTTTCTCTCTCCGCCCCAATCTCTCCTTCTTTTTACCACAATTTGCATTTTTTTTTCCTCTCGCCGGGCGTGGATCTAAGGAAAAAAGGACGATCGTCTCACGGTACAGAATCATGCTCATGTCAAGAAGCAAAGGTCATTGGTTTTAGTCGCCTTTGGTACTTTGGAGATTTTTAATTGTAGGTAGAACATAAAGGACCATAGCCGAGACCGTGAATTGTTAAATGAAAAAATCCGGTTTCAAAGCATTAGGAAATTTGCATGATGTTTAGCAGTAGAGCCTACATGACAGGTGTACATGAAGTATTTTGGGTTGATCTTCAAAAAGAGTTCCTACACATGTAAGTTTAGACTGGAAAACATATAATAGACTCCGCTCGGGGCGTTGAATATATTCAATTTTAGGGGTCGTTTAACACCTAGGCGGACAAATCCAAACTTATCTCGACTCATGTGACAAAAAATGCTTTCGGAGAAAATATCACTAGGAGGATAACACTTTCATAGAAGAATAGCCAGTCTCTCAGGTCTCTCCATTTTTACATCTAGGCCGTCTTGAGATCCAGATCGCTCTCGGAAATCTCATTGACTTCGATGTCAGAATCCTCCATTAGAGTCAGGGTCATTCTGCTGTCATCGATAGCCTATCCCTTCTTTGAATCTGACTTTGAACAACACGTAATGCGCAAACTGTAATTAATTAAGCAAGATACTGAATAAATTTAATTATTTTGGGCTATTTCCTTACATCCTGGCATTGTGGAGCAATTTTGATGTGTGGCGTCTATTTCACAGGAGATGTTTATTAGATAAGGGCGTTTACTTGAGAGTTTACGTCTATTAGATCGATCATTTACGGAATTTTTGCTTAGGTCAAGATCGTGCGCTCGGTAAAACTAAATTTAACCGACCTGGTCAGAAGAGTGAGACGTGAGGCGCAAAGGTAGCCAGTTTCGCGCCTTGAAACACCGTACATTATATATAAGAAAGAAAACTTGCGTTTGCTTTTAACATAAAGACTAGAAATACTTTCTCAAAGGCAAAACAAAAATCTCCCGGTGGAATTATTGGTGGGGCTGTGGCCTACCCAGCCTCATCCAAGGTCCCTGTAGTTGTATTTGCTGCTAAATGCACTTTATGCCAGAGCAGTTATTCTTCATGGATCACTGGATATGGCGCCAAAATTATGATGTTGTTATTATGCTCTGTTTTCACCCGAATACAAGCTCATGGTCAGCATGTGAGGTCACTGGTGAAGTTATAAATTCCGTATGATGCTGATAGACTTGATATCTGGTCAAAGTTTTCTAGCTTACGTAGCTGGTGGTTTTGTTTGGCGACACGGCGCAACCCGGGCGGTACAAATAAGCGTCGGAGCAGCGAAAACGCGCGCCAACTGTCAGCCACGCAAGCTAAAAGATTTTTCTTTGTAGAGAAAGACCTTAGCACTGGATATTTTACGACAAGTTTCCCTTTTTTCCAGGGCTCCCGTCACAACAGTAAGTTAACTGACAAAAAAAAGAAATCAAAAGAGAGGTAAAACTGGCCGCTAAAATTCAAAACTGCACATGAATAACACAATACACTCGTACAATAGACTATAATCCCTTTGTAATGCGTCCCATGATTTCGTTTGCATATGTGTCTGAAAACTATCAACCGCCATTCGCAAGTCGCTTTTGCTGAGATAACCTTCAGTGTCTTGATTTAAATAAAAAGAACGCTGCGCGCATTTATAGATTGGCATAACTTTAGCCTGGCCAGGTGTTCGGGCGAAATATCGACGTGGAAAAGAAAACAGGGGAGATTACCCGCGTGGCTCCCCACCATCTGGACAGCTCTCTGAACGCTGCGTAGCCTGCGTAGCTGGCGGCATTGTGTAGTAGTCGAGTGAGATTTGGCGGCGGAGCCGTTGTAATATAGTCGAGTGAGATTTGACGGCGGAGCCGTCACGAGCGGCGAAGCCGCGAGACTCGTCCCTACTCCTTTTTTTTGGAACATGGCTCCGCCGCCAAAACTTTAATCTCGCACCCACACAATACCGCCAGCTACGGAACACGGCTCCGTCGCCAAAACTTTAATCTCGCACCCACACAATACCGCCAGCTACGCAGGCTAAACGCTGCGCGCGCTTTACTATCTAAACGCCTGGAACGTTAACAGGCTAACACAAATTTGGCGTTTGCCCAAAGAGATCGTGACAAAATTGTTCAGGTTTCTACAGGATTCAAACCTTTGACCTCTGCGAGAGGGCAAGGGTTGGAATATGCGAGATGAGGACTGTTTGATTTTTAAAATATAAATTTTAAATCAATTAATGTAAACTAGAATGCTTCACTGAATATGGCGCCCGCCAAAATAAGGATTTTAGTAATGACCGATAAATAATAATTCCTTACAACAACGGGATGAAGAATTTTAAGAAATAAAGAAGGTCGCTGCGAGCATTTATAGACTGCCGCAACTTGCTTTTGCCAAAGGAAATCTTGACAAAATTCAGGTTTGTACAGGATTCGAACCTTTGACCTAGAGTCTGCATGATGAAGACTGTTTGATTTTCAATACAATCAATTAATGTAAACTTCTATGGTTCACTGAATACGGCGCCAACAAAAATAGGGATTTTAGTCATGACCCACAAATAAAAATGTCGCATTTTAAGGGTAGGTCAAAGTTCGAAGGCAAGCGATAATTCAGCCGAAGGTGTGGACGGACAACTAGTATTCGTTTTTTAGCGCGCGAAGCAGGGCGAGGCAAAGCAGGGCGCTAAAATTCAAAGCCATAACAGACAGAATGAATGAACATACAAATTGGCAAACTTTACAATAGAAAAATTAATCCTTTTGTCATGGGTGAAAAGATCCCGCTATATAAAGTGACTGGTAACTCCTAAACGGCACTTCGTTCGTCGCTCTCGTCGAGTTAAAATCACAACTTCGGTAAGTACTTCATTTTAGTTTTATTCTCTCCTTTGCATTTCTCAGCTCGATCATGACTGCAGCAGTAACTGATCCTGCACCCTTGTTAAACCCTAAAGTGTAAGGTACCTGGAAATACGTGTGTTTTGAACTTTTTTTTCCTTTTTATGAGTTCTAGTTACCAAGAGAGAATGAGGCATTCTCTCTTGAAGTTACCTATTTTTTTTTTAAGTTGGAAGGAACTTATCACAAATAGAAACATCGGTAGAAATAAAAACTAACGCAAACTCAACGCACCGCGTATGTAAAACATGTAACCATGATATACAATCTTTCCTGGCGTCTTGAACGTGCTCTCTACAATTATAAACCATACATAATAAACATACCCATCCATCGGTAACTGCTCGCAAGAGAAAGATCCCCTATAAAGGCATAATCGCACAAAACACTAGAAAATCCACTAACGTCAGCAGGCAATCTGTATAGGAAAAAAGGTGTGCTCAGTTCGGGTTTGGCGGTCAAAAGTTAAACAATTCATGTTAAGCAAATAAATTCCCGCCGCTCCAAATTTTTGCCAAGAGGACAATTATTGTAATGTAGTACATGTAAGTGTGCTGAACTTAAAACAGTTCTAAATTAATTTTCGCGCGGCGAGCTTAGCTACATGCATGACTGACAACATTCAAAATGATTCCCCTGAGTACAAGTGTAAAATAAGTATGAATACGTTTTATTGTCAGCCTCAAAACCGAGTCTGTTTAGACAAAGGAGGGCCTTTTATCATACCCTTAGCCTCCTGAAGGATTAATTACTAAACAGTAGCAAAATTGATATTAGACGTTTGGCTTGATGTAGGCCTATTTATATCAGATGGAGCGATCTAGCAAAGCTGAGCAGCAAAGAATAAGCGAATAGCTGCAGTAGTTGCAAAGATTATTTTTCTTTATCCCTCCTTTTCTCTGTTTTCAGCCTCGATCCAGACTTTTTGTTTAACTGTTCGAGCGTACTTGAATACGCAAAAATACGGACAGCGTTTTGCTGTCTAATTGCAAGCGCGATTCTTTATTGATAACCTTTGAAAATCTGCCGCCGAGTTAGAGAAACAAATTATTCTTTCATCGCGGTTTTGTCCAATAATTGACTCTTTTGCTAAGTGCATCATTTATACTCCTTCATTTTTTTCTGCAGATTTTCCAGCGCCTTATCTTCCTCGTAGCTCTTTTTCATTATGAAGACTTTTTGTGCCTTCATACTTGCAGCCTTGGTTGTAGCTGTGACGTCATACTATCAAGGTAAGAAGGCTTTCACAAAATAAGGTGTTTTTAATTTAAAGTGGCTCTCAGCGCTCGACCAGTATTTTTGTTAGCATGCCTGCCACCTTTCAGCCTAATCTTTATTTTACATATATTATACCACTTGTTATTATGGACGGATTAACTTACAATAGACGGTATATAATGGTATTATTATTTTTTCGAGATTGAAGTGAATATTCTATGCAATCTATAAACTCTACTGAGCCAAGTTTCGAAAAATTTTAAACGAAGAATTTTTAGATATCAATAGCTTGAAATTTCTAAATAAGGGGTATAACTTATATGCAATCTGAAGACCTGTTGACCTTTATAATACAAATTTGATTTCGGTCGAAATTACCCCTCGATCAGTTTAACAAATATCCCTAATATACTTTCTACAAACCGTTGTGAGCAGGTTCTAGTTCAAAGAGATTACCATACTTTCGGCCTAGATGATGATGATAAAATGACCTTTACCGGAAAAATGACGATGGCAATAATAATAACAACAATTAATAATAATAATAATAATATGTTATCATTACTATTATTATGATTAAAATGATAAATGTGGAGACAAAAATTTATTATTATTTTGACTTAGATGAAGCAACTGAAGTCTTCAAATGCCCAATCTGTGTTGGTCTGGGTAAGAAAGCAGAGAGAAAGTGTGACAACGAGGCCGTTTACCGAGCCTGTCACGCAGAAGACGCCGTCTGCGTGAGCACCAAAAATGGCGAATTGGTTATGAGAGAATGCCAGAGTAAAAAGTACTACAACGAGTACATCGTTCCAAAGTGTGACGGTATTGAGAACTGTGAACACGCAATGTGCGAGGAATCTGACTGTACAGCGTATCTGTCTAAAGGTAAGAGTCAAGAATACTTATATTAATGAGCGAAACACAAGGCCCGGAATGCAGAGCTCTAATAAAAAAAATACGTTTTACTTTACATTCCATGACCTGTACTCTAAGAGACCATAGAAATAAAGTCAAAATGCTTAAAACTCAAGTTGATTTCATAAGTCAGAGTACAGTGTGTAGATTGTCCTGGGCCGAGTTGTTCAAAACTGGGTTAAGTTAACCCGGGGTTAGTGCGAGATTTGAATTCAGATTTGAAAGCTTAAAAAGCATTTCAGTTTTAATTGTTTTTGTCTACAAGATGATGATTGAAAGCTCTAAACACAACGGAGAAAATTATCCGAGAAAATGCTTTTGAACACGAGAAAAAGAAATCAGGGTTAAATTCAACCCCGGGTTAAGCGCTAATCGGCCTTCCAACAACTGGGCCCTGGTGTATACATGTAATTGACAGTTTTTGAGTGTTCAATCTCATTCTTGTGAAATATCTTGGAATAAGGTAGCCTGCTTGGGGGATATCATGTGAAAAGTAGACGCCCGAGAGACACGCGAGGGGAGACGCGAAAGCGGGGGGCGGGGGAGAGTTTCCTCGGCCCTCGCGGCTTCGCCGCTTACTCCCACGTTCTCTCGTGTCGCCCAAATAGAAGAGCTTGTTCGCAGGCGAGGAAAAATGTAGTCTACAATCTCAAAAACCTCTCGTCCAATCAGCGTACATGTGCTAGAAATCGCTCAGTTATTAAATTGAAAAAGTAGAAGTCAGTCAAAGAATACTTAAGCCTCGAAAGCAAGCTCTCCACGAAGCCCGCTACTCGGGGGAGCGAGGGGGAATTGTTCTCTTCCGTCCCCACCCCCAGAGAGCTTGATCAGAGGCTATGAATATATGAAATATAATGAACATTAACTTCCTTTTTTTGTTACTTGTTACGGCAGCACAAGGTCCGTAAATTGAACGGAGATGTTGCATGCAAATAAAGTTTGAGTCTATGGATGAATTCTTATTACTGGTATATTAGGCGTTTAACCTTGTCTATTACGTGCATAAATGTATATCTATAAGTATAAACATCAGTGAAATACCAGGGTGAGCCTAATAGCCCTAATTAAATGATATTCCGTGTTGAAATTACAGTATCTCGAAGAGAAACTTCGTATCTCCAAGCAGTTGCGTAGAGGATGGTTTGAAAGGCAGAAAAANGAAAGCTCTAAACACAACGGAGAAAATTATCCGAGAAAATGCTTTTGAACACGAGAAAAAGAAATCAGGGTTAAATTCAACCCCGGGTTAAGCGCTAATCGGCCTTCCAACAACTGGGCCCTGGTGTATACATGTAATTGACAGTTTTTGAGTGTTCAATCTCATTCTTGTGAAATATCTTGGAATAAGGTAGCCTGCTTGGGGGATATCATGTGAAAAGTAGACGACCGAGAGACACGCGAGGGGAGACGCGAAAGTGGGGGGCGGGGGAGAGTTTCCTCGGCCCTCGCGGCTTCGCCGCTTACTCCCACGTTCTCTCGTGTCGCCCAAATAGAAGAGTTTGTTCGCAGGTGAGGAAAAATGTAGTCTACAATCTCAAAAACCTCTCGTCCAATCAGCGTACATGTCCTAGAAATCGCTCAGTTATTAAAGTGAAAAAGTAGAAGTCAGTCAAAGAATACTTAAGCCTCGAAAGCAAGCTCTCCACGAAGCCCGCTACTCGGAGGAGCGAGGGGGAATTGTTCTCTTCCGTCCCCACCCCCAGAGAGCTTGATCAGAGGCTATGAATATATGAAATGTAATGAACATTAACTTCCTTTTTTTTGTTACTTGTTACGGCAGCACAAGGTCCGTAAATTGAACGGAGATGTTGCATGCAAATAAAGTTTGAGTTATGGATGAATTCTTATTACTGGTATATTAGGCGTTTAACCTTGTCTATTACGTGCATAAATGTATATCTATAAGTATAAACATCAGTGAAATACCAGGGTGAGCCTAATAGCCCTAATTAAATGATATTCCGTGTTGAAACTACAGTATCTCGAAGAGAAACTTCGTATCTCCAAGCAGTTGCGTAGAGGATGGTTTGAAAGGCAGAAAAAAGGATTTTGCATTTTAATTTCTATGCAATAAAATGATTAGCTAAAAAAGTACTAAAATTTCACTTACAAGATTTTAAAAAACCTTTTCTCCGTATTTGTTTGTAGATAAGAAAGAGACGTATGATACGCCACTGGAGTGTCCTGTTTGCATCGGAATGGGAGAAAACGCCGAAAGTGATTGTGATGAATCCACTCAATCTTTTATGTGCAACGATAAGATTGCAGCGTGCATAACTGTTAAAGACAGTGGCCTGTTCTGGCGTGATTGTCTAAACTACAACTATTACCGCAGTGCTATAAAGCCTTCTTGCGACAGGAAAGAAGGCTGTGAGACATCGTTTTGTAGGGAACAAGGATGTTCGGCGCCTCTGTCCACTGATGAAGGAGAAGAAGGTAATGATTGTCGGTACAGCGGTCTTTTCTATTAATCCTTAACCGTACTGAAAGACAATAATATTATAATAGTCTACTCTGCAGCCGTTTTTGTCTCGTCACGCAGAGCCGTTACGAGACAAAAACAGCCGCGAGGGAGGGCTTCGTCAGTCCAAGGAACGTTTGCGTGAGTGGCTATAATTTTAAGAGCTAAATGAAAGGAGTTTTTATCACAAACAAAGTGGGTTTGCATCCATTCGGAAATAGTGTGTTAAGACTGCGAGAGAAATACTGAGTCAAGCTTCACAAAACACTAACATTATATCTTTTAATTTGTTAGAGTATATTTTATTGTTAATTTTAATTTTCAGTTGAGGAAACAGGACTCTCTATCAATGGTGTCAAAATCCCTACTGGAACTGGAAATAAAAAGAGTAAGTTAAAAAACTTCCCTGTTAGCAAAGTGTACTTTTAGATTATTATTGCCTCTGCTAAAATAATGAAAATAGATTAATTTTTCTGCGTGGAAATCCATAGGTCCTGGAAACTGAACCCCGAGCGTCAGTTTCTTCGGTCAGCGGCTTGATTTTAAAACTTATTGCTTTGCATCTTTGTTTTTGCGTTCTTTTTAAACTTAGGTACGGTAACAAAGTTATTTGTCTCAATCCATTGGCTTGACATTTTTCTACGATTGTATGCATACCAAGTTTGTTTGCATGCAATCACTAAGTTGAAACTTGCTTAATCTAAACATGTGTCGAACAAGCGTAAGTTGAAATGAAACGAAATCAGAGAAGTTTATACTCATTTTTTGGGTCAGGGGCGGGGGTGCTATTTTAAAAGAAACAACATTGAATGGTGTTTTTTAACCTGGCTTCTTACGTACGTGTCCTATTATAAAACGGACCATTTCTATAAATAAAGCCTAAACATTAGACCTTTCCTTGAATTATCCACATCTTGTCTAGTCCCCGCACGACAAGCCTTCTCGGTCGATGTATTTCGGCGCATTTCCGTTAGGCTGAGCTGGATATTACGGCCTGAGAAGTAGGCTTAATCCTCACCTTAAAATAGATTACATTACCACTCTGTATCTAACTGCTGTCTTTTGTTTGTTTGTTTTTTTCAGAGCTGTCAAACCCATTATTCAAACACTTTGCTTGAATTGTGTGCTTGTTTTTCACCATGTTTTATGGTCAAAGTGTTGTTTTATTTCCAACTTACATCTCACGTTACTTGAATGTTACGGTCTTCGTCTTTTAAAGGCACTTAAAGGAAATAAACAGTGTGTTATGTGTAGAACTGGCGTTTTAAGTTTTATGTCTGAACGCAATGATTGCTCCGAAAGGGACGAAAGAGCTCGAGACCCATATGAAATTGAGAAAAGCAGTTTTGGCATGAAAATACAGTTGTATGAGAATACAGTGGAAAGCTTAAATTTTTAGGAGTACTTGCTGAAGACTAAACAGTTTATTACAGAGAGGGTAGAAACCCATTCTAATGATGTTCACATAGAGACTTTTAGATTTGAGGACTAGAACGACTACGAGTACCAGATTTCATTTAAGATTTTACGCCTATTCTAAAAAAATAGACTCTTCGCAAAATAGACACACCGGAATACTTTATTGTACTTTCTTTCCACCTGAAAAATTAGTACTCTTATCTTTATTGGAGGAGCTTGTTGATTTCTCTTCCGAACACAAAGTGATTAAACTTCTAATAGTTGATAACTTGTTTCCTCCACTACGACATTCTCGCTAAACCTCGTAGTAGAATCACGACGGCTATCACGTTTTCCCGCCAAGGTGCGTGTATTACTTTGTATCACTAGGGAAAATTTCGTACTCATAGTCGTTCTCGTCTTATAACCCTAGGGTCTCTACACACGGCTCGCGGGTCGCATTTAGACTCACGTGCTTTGAAACTATCAGCGAAAAAATTGGAAAACGCAATTGCGGTCAGTGACATGATGTAACCATAACCAAAAAAGGGGTTTCATTTGATTAGTTGCACCAAAGAAGTTTGTCCACTTGTAAGCACATTATTAAATATATTGACAAATGAACTAGGTGCCGGAGAGGGCCAAAGTCTCCTCATAGAACGGAGTTCACCCCTATCTGGAAACCTTGAAAGATTCTTTCTTATACTCTAGCCGCCGCGTAAACAGAAATTTGATTTTCAAACTCCGCAGTCGCAGTCTGGGGGGGATAGAGGCACCCCTTAAGAGGCACCCCGGTAAGAAAAAGACGAGGATAAGCGTCGTCGAGCGTCTTGCGTTGAAAAATATCTATGTAAAAAGAAATGTTGAGGGCACATCTTCACTCCGCTGAGTTATGATTGACCTGTGAAGTGTCCGCTGGTTCACACTGTGCCGAATTGCGCAGGCGCGAAAACCGTACCGGGTATGGCTTCTGTTCACACATAAGAACGGTGATTTCGGTGAGATTTCTGTGACGGAGTGAAGCGTCATATATCGCATAGTTTGTGTGCCAGGGTGCAGTGTGAACAGGTACTCTGATCGGACGTAGCGGAAGTGAATAAGAAGGAAAAGGGCTTGAAACCCACTGAGTCGGAAGTAAGTATTTAGGAGTGAGGAGTAGGATTAACTGCACCTTACCCTATCGGCCAACGGCTCCAGCAAAATGCCCGCTTAATGTCCGCCACTAAAGCCAATCGGTACAGTGTAGGCATGGCATTTGTACCAACCACCAATATGGCTACTGATATCTGTTAGTTCTCTAATTCGTAGTCATATTCTAAAATGTAGATGGCTTAGCATGCATCAACAACGAGCACAAGAAAAACAAACCTGTGGGCGGGCGTAGATGGAGCCGTTGAGCTTACTCACGCTCCTGGCGAAAGTTATTTTCAAATCTTGTACTCGTTGTCGTACACGTCGTCAGTGCTAAAACCCCTTCAAGAAGGGAAGTAGTATATCAACGTAAAACACTGCGAAAGCAAATTTTATTCTCCAACTTTATTTAAATCTTTTAAAGCAAAACCACCATCATGGTTGTTGAAAAAATGACTCCTTGTTCGGTTATTCTCCTCTGTTTACTGCTTGAAAGATAAAAAACGAAAACATTATGAGTTCAACTGGAAGGACATAACCGAAAATATCTCAACTTTTCCAATATTTTATTTTCCTATTTTTAGGTGTTCTCATTGACCAGCATCTCTCTTGGAAACCACATATTGATTTTGTCTCAAAAAAATTTCGAAAAGTGTGGGAATTATTGCGAAAGCCCGCTTTTACCTATCATCCCAAACTTTGATGACCTTGTATTACTCCCTTGTATATCCTTTCTTAACATACTGTAATGTCGCCTGGTCCTCCACCTACTGTTCCAACCTAAACTGTATTTACCTTTTGCAAAAGCGTCTAGTGCGACTCATAACAAAAGCTCACTATCTAGCAAATACCGCCCCTTTATTTAGCCAGCTTAAAGTCCTTGACATATTTAGTATTAATTCATTTTCTGTCGCTACCTTTATGTATTCTTATCACCATAATCTTTTGCCTAATAGCTTTCATGACTTGTTCTTAAGTAGTAATCAAGTCCATCAATACGAAACTCGACTAGCCTCTCAATATAGACCTCATTTTTGTAGAACAAATATAAAGCAATTCAGTATCCTTTACCGAGGACCTAAAATCTGGAATTCGTTGCCTGTTTCACTAATTAGCTCTCCTTCTATATCTGTTTTTAAAAAAAATTTAAAGAATTATCTCACTGATAGCCGATCTGTCGTTTAATTTTCTGATCTTGCTCACTCTGCACTCAGCCATGAACTTAGTTCACTAGGTAGTTGAAGGAAACCTATTAATATAAGCTTCAAGCTTCGTTAGGCTTCCTTGTCACATTAGTTTTATAATTTAATTAACACCTTTTGTTCATGTTGTGTAAGGTTTTGTGAGTGACTAAATAAATAAAAAAATAAATAAATAAATAAATTCATACATGTTTTCCAAGCTTACATACTTCAAAAACAAATGACTGTGCGAATGCTGTACAAAGAAAGAGCATAGAATGAAAAAAATAATAAATTTTAAGGAGTGTTGCATGTTTTTTTCAAATAAGATAGCAGCAGACAAAAGGTATAACCAAATAATTCCTCTTGAATCTCTTGCAATAATCTAGCCATTTTGCGATGCTGGCAATGTCGCCAGTTAGGACGTTTACAGTAAAAACCGTTTGTGACTTCACAAAACAGAGGGAAATTAATTACCACCCAGCGTTTCTTCACTAACTTATACTTTAACTTACTGACAATTTTTTTTTACAAAAAACGACTGTTTATAGCATGTTCCACGCGTACAGAAGGTGAATACAGCGAACAGAAAAGTGAGCAAGAAAACACAGCGAAGAGTGTTGGGGTAGGGAGAGAGGGGAGACAGTCCTCTCCGTCTCTTTCTGTCCCTCTCCACCCTTATTTTTTCTCCGCGCTCCGTTTGGGCCACTCTCAGCTATTAACACACTCTCGTTGCTTTTGTTGCGGAAACCCCCCTGTGACTTTATACCGCTCTGGAAATGCTTAGATCTTATATACCTCATTGTTTAGGAAGAGATCAACTTATTACTTCAACAATAGAACGTATCTTGAGGAAACAAACCTTTTTCCAGCATGCATGAGATCAAACTCTTCATTTATTTTTTCAGTGGCATTGTGTGCGATATAAGTTTATAAAGATTCATTTTTCCAGCCATATACTCCTCTGATAGTTTAGGGATAATCTCGCGTGCAACACATCCTCCAAACAACAAAACATGAAAGAAAGATAGAAATGCCTTCTTTTAGCTCGTTTGGAGGTCTGTAATTCAAATTATCGCCCGATCGTTTTTTACTGTGATTGACGTCAATCAAGAAGAAAAAAAAACAAGGACCTGTAAGTTAAATCAAGTAATGAGAAAAAGAGGGGAGATATTTATTATATGCCTTTTTTCAGTGAAATAACCTTGCAATCCTTGAAAAGCTTGTATTCTGTAAGATAACTAGATTTTCATACAGTGTTGGACATAGACACAATTGCAAGAGTATGCGCTTTTATGCATGACACTGCAGCATGCACACGTGGCCACTTTATGTAGAGGCAAGGCGGTTCGCTCCTTCCTGGTCTGTCATTACAATGATGATTCATACCTCCAAAGATTGATCCGATTATATTCTGTCCCGTCAGCAAATGATCAGGATTTACTGATAGTTGTTCTTGTGCGACGCCAACTATAACAGTTGTTTCCCAACCCACGTGACTTGCCTCAAATGCGGCGCGCTAGAAATTCAGAGGATATTTAATTGAGCTTTTGTGAAGAGGGATAGAGGGAAGAGAGTGGAGTGTGAGGAAAATCTCAAATATCCACTCCAAGGTATATATTAAAATTTTATTATGATCACCTAAAGGATTAATTATAACCCTTAACTTTTACCTGGCGTTGAAATTACCTAGACCGGAGCAATCTCTTAATATATTCTGGACCGGACTTGATAACGAGGATCATGTATGACAGGCGAGTGGAAAATAGCACAGCCGCAAGACGCAAAAAAGGCGAGCGAATCCGCCCTCGTTTCCCCCGGTGAACTTGCGTGATACTCCACTATAACGTTTAGGACAAGTAAGAAAACGTTTCCAGCCTAAAGTATACCTTAAAATGGATGGCCCTTCAAAGGATAATTGCGTCCGCGGAAAGAAGAAGTGATACTTCAGCAAAAAATGGGCGAGAATAGAAGTAAAGTGTAACATATCATAGACTCATTTAGTGGGTTAAGCACGGGAATAAGCCCCATCCGGCACTTCGGTCTTTTCACCTTCATGCCCAGCCCAGCCATCCTCTGCTTTAAAGATGGAAAGTACTCATCTACAACCTCGTACCCAGGGCTTTTCCCTGAAAAAAGGGAGGGGCCGGGGCGCGCCCCAGAACGAGTTTCACTTTTCTTTCTCTGATTATTGATCACTCGTTCAATCAATAAAATTTTGTTAATCTGTGAACAATGTTCGCAGTCAACAACCAAGTATTAGTAGACAGACAGAGACGAAATAACACAAATAAATCTTAACCATGGTTTCAACTTTCTCCAATGCATTCAATCGTAAAGTCCAGTCCTCCTTGAGTCATTTCTGTTAAGACCTAAGGCCAATGGGAGATAAAAAAAAATGAGAGACAAGTTATAAGACATACATGTAGGGCTCTGCACACAGTGTAAATCACAGGACAATCAGTTCTCAGACCCGAACTACCCTTAAGCTGCGATCCGCGCATGATACAGAGCGTCATTTCCGCTCTTACAGTTATGCCATCCTCCCGTTTTAGGCATCCCCATTCCCAAAACCCTAGTGATATGGGCATCCCCTTTTACCTTAGCGATTTGGGTTAGGGTTTAGTGTTAGGGTTACAGGGGGATGCCCATATTATTGTAGCACCGGATAGCTTTTGTGCCGCCGAGAAAATCATACCGTATATTGCTTTTGTTCAAACACGAGAACGGTTGTGGCGGCGTGATTTCTGTGACGGAGCGACGCTGCTCCGTGCCGATCTCTAAAGTGGAGAGTCACATATCGGATAGGTGTTGATACTATACCGGACTGATAGCATTCCGTGGCGCCACGAGAAGCTATCCGATATGGCGTCAACATAGCCTAAATATGTTCACTCTTCTCAGCTCTCAGTTCACTCTACTAAGCTATTAATATTTTAAGTTCCTACTTTCATATCAGGCGCATTTGAAAACGAGTTACAAATCAACATATACATTATAAAGATTGTTGTTGTTGTTGTTATTATTATTATTATTATTATTATTATTATTATTATTATTATTATTAGAACAAACCTGCTGGATCAGTTTATCAGATTCATTAGGGTTCATGCACTCAGTTGCGCCCAACTCTTTTGCTGAAAAAGAGATACAGCATCTCTTAAATACAGGCGCGTTGGCATAATACAAAAATGTCTTGTTAGTCTGCCGGCTAATGATTAACGAAACACATGGTCGAAGAATGACACGAATGAGGAATATACCTACTTACCTACATGAATTTAATCTAGTGCCAATGCGCTTCTCTAGAAAGTACTACTTGGGACACTGTTTTAAGTCTCCAACAGCCATAATGGGACATTATAGCTCTTGATGTCTCCTGGAGACGGCACCCCAATTTCACATGTTCATTTTCATATGCCTGATAATTATCTGAAACGTGTCTAGGAAACCTCTATGAACAGCAATGTCGAATGCTGCATCCTGNTTTAAGTCTCCAACAGCCATAATGGGACATTATAGCTCTTGATGTCTCCTGGAGACGGCACCCCAATTTCACATGTTCATTTTCATATGCCTGATAATTATCTGAAACGTGTCTAGGAAACCTCTATGAACAGCAATGTCGAATGCTGCATCCTGTACGATATTAGGGAACTAAAGCAAAGACGTTTTCGAGGGACGCTCATCAACTGGAGGTGAGGACTTTTCCCTATCAATATCCTTGTCGCTGCCAAATTTGTATTGCCAAGTCCCTTTACTCTTACATACTCCAGGCACAGGCCCGAAAATTTGGGCAAAACAATGCCTAGTAAAGCAAAAAGTCCACTTTCGGTCGACGTGCGTCGATCAGAAACGTCTTTGCTTAAACTCCCTAATAACTATTTTTGGAAGGCGGTAAATTTTAAGCATCGTTAATTAGTGATCAGGATATTGTTTACTAGTAAGTACCGCCAACCTATAGGGAATTTATCAGGTTTAATATCAATCCCAATTATCCTCGCGGCACCAGCAGCTTTACAACCCATCACTGCAGAAAGCCCAACTCCTCCCAGTCCCCACACGGCCACACTCGACCCAGGCTTCACCTAGAAAAAAGAACAAAAATGAACGCTTCGTAACTTGTTGCAAGGCAACAAATAGTCACTAGTTGAATTGCAAGAGAGTGTAATGTCCTATAAGTCTCTCTAGCTTGTGTTAATCAATCTATGTCACGTAAGGTGCATTGTGTAACGTGTGTTTCGTTACCTGAGCCGTATTAACTGCAGCACCATATCCAGTGGGCACACCGCAACCGAGAAGGCAAGCCTTGTCAAGCGGAAAATCTTGAGGTATCTGCATAAACAAACAGACAAAAAGAGGTGTTGACATGGAGGTACGTCATTTCCTTTTTCGTTACAAATGAGGCGTTCAGATAGTGAGGATGGACGATCGACTCTCATCCCCTCTCCTCTTCCTTACTTCCTCTTTTTTTATTTTATTTTTTATTATTATTTTTTTTTTGCCCACCCATCATTTCGCGCCACTCTCCACAGGCTGTAAAATAATTTTACGTAGAACTAATTATAGCCTACAATGGAGGACAAAAATCCTTGGAACGGTTATGGAAAACCTTCCTACCACATCCTTAACTTATCAAATGTTCAGATGTAGCATAATATGCACTTCTCTAACCACTTGGATACCGCGACTGGCCCTCCTCTCCCCCCTCCAAACAATGTTGGGATGAAGAAACACTTTTAGGACAGGGTAAAGTGTACACGGGTGCACAAATTAGGACATTGCTTGGGGACGAGGGGGAAAGTAGGAAAAATTAAGGCAGATCGTCTTAATTGTCCTAAGAATTTTGCCCTCCATTGTAGCAAGGTTTAGTGTAGTGGCATCACAGACCTGGGAAGCAACACCTATGAAAATTAAGTGTCTCCCCTTAAACAGTTTCAAAAAAGAATATAAACTCTTTCTACTTGACAGTCAGGCATCTTGAACAACTCTAATCATTTATTTAGCTCTATTTATTTAATTATTTAATTTAAATAGTTATTATTACTCATATATACCCTTCCTTTTCAATACGATTAATTTAGCAAGAATTATATAACTAGTTTCCACCCACTTGTAACCGCTCTTTGGTAGTAGCCAACTCGAAAGCTTGGCTCTTTTGGCTGATACATACTTTTTTCCTTTGTTATGTTTAATTCAATGTATAGTTAGCTCCGTTTTTACTTCTTTTTTTTCTCTTATTGTTGTTGTATTGTAATTGAATAAGTGTGAATAAATGAACTTGAACTTGAACTTAAAGGTATAGCCGGTGACTAAGGGCTGAAAATGCTTCAACTTGTCGTGAGTTGTCTTGAACAGCCATGATGTTTTTTGAAACAGGTCAATACTCACAAGGTTTAGTCCCACTGGCTTAACAACAAGCATTTCAGGAACGACGATGTACTCACTGAAGGTTCCCAGCCTGGTAAGCTGTTTTATACTCTTTCCTTTACATGTCAACCGGGTTGTTCCATCAAGCATTTCGGCCTTGTCAAATCCGAAACTTAAACATAAGAAAAAAAAACAACAACGTTATTTTTTCGTAACTCACCCCATGTATGGTTATGTATTGGATTCCGGATTGTTTGTCAGTGGACTTGTATTCCGTATTCCAATCGTTAGTGGGATTCTGGATTCCTTGAGCTAAATTCCGGATTGCACAAGCACAAATTTCCCGGACTACGGATTTTCAAAAGCAAAAATTTTCCCTATTCCGGAATCCGCATAACCTTTCATGGGGCGACATAAAGGTCTTTAATAAAATCAAATTGAAGTATAATTCCGTAGCGTTTATTTTGGAATACGAAGATCAGTTAGTAGTACCGACAAGTTAAGCTTTCTACTGATGCAAGTGTTTTCAGAGCGAAAGCAGCAAAGGTAAGACGTCTAGAAATTTATTCAGCTGTCCAGGCTAGGACACATTGCTGTAGAAGAAAGTATGTTTCTGGTTAACGAGGCCCTTAGCAAAAGCTGTTTGGAACAAAATGGTCGCCGCTGCTGAATGGAGTATTTGCGTACGAAACAAAACAGAAAGAAAGCCGAAAGGTAAGAAGGACGGAAGGATAGAAGGTAGGAAAAAAGGTAGATTAACGGTTATAGAGATGGTCTGCAGGAGGGCATACACATTTAATCACATTAATTAGCCTGCTAGCAAGATTTCCATTCAAGGGAGTTGCGAGAAGCAACGCGAGAGCAGCACGCGAAGGCAGACGCTTCGCCGTTCGCTCGCGCGTACTCTCGCAGTACGCTGATCGATGGAAAGCTTGCTTGCACGCTAAATTCATAAATACCTGGTGCACAGATTGGTCAGTGGATTCAGGCAAAGCTTGCATTCTCCACAATTAGGGACGTAGGTTAGTACAACATGGCCTCCTAAAGACAATGATAAGGTAAAATTTGAGATATGGAATAAGTTTTTATCTCGAGTCCCTTAGTCAAACCCACACCTCTGATCGTCAAAACTCGTTCGGTGAAATTCGAGAGAGAGTCAGACTACATGTATTTATTTACCTGGTTTCACTGTAGTGACTCCTTCACCAACGCTCTCTACAACGCCACTTCCTTCATGCCCCAGTACAACTGGAAAGAAACGATCTCCTTTGTTTCCGCTCGCCATTGTGCTGTCTGAATGGCAGACACCTGTATTGATCATCTTGATTCGCACCTCACCCACTTTTGGTGGCGCGACCTCAACTATTTCTATGACAGCGGGCTTGGCAGCCTCCCATGTTACTGCACCTCGGCAGGATATCGGCTGGGAATTGTTGAAAAAGACATTGTTATTGAACCGTTTATTTATGCACTGATGTTAATTTATTCTGATGTCATATTGTGTTATGGCAGATACGTCTTCACCTAGATCTAGTGTTGAACACGCGGCCTTTTTTCGCCATGTGATTGACTCGTTGTGTTCAGTTTTTTTGTAGTAGTTTCTGGAAACCTAGACTTCTATTAAAAAGGTAAAAACTCAACAGGAATATCAACATAAGTTTGTTTATTAGAGAAAAGACTTAGGTGGACTTTTTACTTCGGCAGTTTCATTGCTTGTTAAGCAGAAAAACAATAATGTGATCCTTGCAGCAAAAAGACTAAGAAAAAAACAATGATAATGAAAATGAAAATGATATTAAATGATAATGATAGTGATGGTGATGACAAAAGGTAAAAAGTATTTGTCCAATATTTTGGCTTGCAAAGCAAACCTATGGGGTATACAAGAACTCAAGAATATTCAGGATACAATCTCTCTCGACGGAATACAGCAAGTCCACGGTAAGGTTACTCCCAGCAACATTCCCGTTTATACACCTAGCTGGGTAAAGGGACGATACCGAGGATAACAACGCCGTTTCTTGTCTTAGAAACAACTTAACGCGTGGTAAGGATAGAACAAGGACGATCGCCCATGTATGGCCACTAGGACTGACCTCACCACGCCTCCCTCGGATACGTGTCCCGTGTTGATCATGAAAATTTTTTCAAGAAGTATTCACATTAATCATAAGACAATTTACAATTGGACGGATTAGGGTCTGCATAGGTGTCTAGAGTTGCAATACTGAACATTGGAATTGTAGGCTCTGTAACACTTAATCAAAGGCATTTACTGAAAACTCTATTTTCTTGGCAGCTAAACACTAAAACGCGGACGTTTAGTTTTGAAGCAACAGAAGACTTAAAAATTTTTGCGAATGACAATTAACGTTCAGCCTCCATCTAGAACGTATCCAGAACCTACTGGAAAAAGAAATATAAAAAAAGTAAAAAAAGAATCTTGTATTTTACTCTTTTTTTACGAAGTTCACTGAATTCTAAAAACCAGATCATTTTAGAAACGTACCGCGATGCCAATATCCTTAGTTCCACCACCACGCAACTAATCTTTTGAATATCGGACGGCCAAATGTCACACTTCTTCAAACGCAAAGCAGTTGACCTTTGTAAAGACCTTTTCATAGAGCTACGTATACCTCCTGCTAAAAACGTAAGGCCGAAATTAAACCATCTCCAGTTAGCTGATAGCTAAAGGAAGTAACTGATTGACTTATGTGAAGAAAAAGAGAAAGTCCCCCGCGTCAGAATTTATCATGCATCGTATCCTTTTACAGGCCGATCGTAAATCGAGTGACCATGTGATTTTCTTTGGTAGCAGCTCGATCGTTTGTCGTAAAGTCAGTCCCGGAGTCCGCGGTCCTCGCCCACATGATCAGATGCCTGATTTTTCTTATACAGGAAGCTTCGTCTCCTTCAGTCTTTGGCTTTCATATTTGAGATCAATAAATTGCGACGATGTAAGTTTTCAGACCTGTTAATTATCGACAAAACAAGAGGTGTGTGTGTTTTAATCAGTTCAAGGGTGGCAAGTAAGAACGGCTACCGTACTGCTTGTCATCGATTAGTTCGTTTTTCCGTGCTTTGCGATTTGTCCTTTCGGTCCAGAGTACTCGGAGGCCAATATTTTATCTTAGAATCCATCAGCTTTCCAGTGGATAAAGTTATTAGTAAGACTTACCTTCCCTACTGTCTCCGACATGTCGGGAAAAAAGACCCTTGTGAAGAAATCAAAGCGGTCTGTTTCTGTGTAATTGTACCTTGTAACAACGTTGAATTACGTTTAAGTACATCAATAAATGCCTGGCACCGTCACGTAAGGCTTTTACAGGCTAAAACGATTTTTAGTCCTAATACAGAATTATGGCAGGTGTGACACGTTGTCATAGGCACAGTGGGCCTTCCCTCCCTTCGTTTTTCTCTGAAATCAGATGCTTTGTTTTTAAAAATCTATCGTCTAGAGGTCTAATTCCTGACGCTTACGGGAGGTGGTCGCTTACAAGAATTGAACCATGTGTCTTCATGGAAGATAATTTATTGCACGTAATGTCTAAGTTACTACATGTGTAGTTCCATGTTGTCACTAAAGTTCCTCGTATATTGTAAGAAGCATAGGGCGCATAACGAACATAAAGATCAGAGAATGCGTCAAGTGGTCACTTGCAAGAGGTTAAAAACAATGGAAAATCATTAACCGTCAGGCCCAAAAAGTGGTCGGGGTCGCTTACAGGAGACGGTCGTTTACTAGAGGTTTTAACTGTAAGGCTTTGACTGGGGAAATTTTGGTGTTTACGATAGGTGGTCGCACATGGAGGTTCGACCGAAGTCTGATATAGTCTTAGGCTCTTTTATCTATATCCGCTTGGAGCCTATATCCACTAAGGTTTCTAGCGAAGCGAGATGTCATTTTCACGTGCAGGCGCAAAAGATGGATACTGTAGAGGACGCAAGTTCTCAGGGTCTTCAAGGACCTTCAAGGTGTTTAAGAGGGAGCCTTGGTATTAACATGGCTTATCACGTGATTGCTCAGCTGGAGTGGAAATTTCGAGCTTCAACAACGAGCATAAGAAAAAAACCTGCTGGCATGGACAAGCCGCAATAGGGCTTACGAATGCCACTATAGAAGCTTGTTTTCAAATCTTCTTCTTGCAGTCGTAAGCGTCGTCGGTGCTAAAACTCTTTATTAAAGTATTACATCAAACTTCAAACTTCAAACATCGCAAAAGCAATTTTTATTCTCCTTTATATAAATCTTTGAAAGAAAAACGTCCATTATCTTTGAAGAAAAAATGTCTCCTCAGTTTAAACATAAAAGTTATTACAAGAACTGAAACGACATGTCTGCAGGAAGCTCAGAACTCTGGGATTTAATAGTTTAAAGACCTTTTTTCCAAAAAAATCACTGATATGTTTTGTACTCGTACACACCTCAAAAACAAATGACTGTTCGAAAGCTTACAAGGAAAGAGAAAACAACGAAAAAAAACTTACAAGATGATGTTGTCCCTGATCAGAAAGCAGTAGACAAAAGATATAACTGCTGTTACATGGGGCAATAGCAATATCTTTTGTGTAAGTTATTCTTTTCAAATCTTAAACATCTAATGATTATTCTCTGCAGGGGATTTGTCATTAGGGTGTTTGCAGCAGAGAACGTTTATGACTTCCACGATATTTCAGTGAAGACGTTGACTCCTTAGTCAGTTTTACCAGTTGATTGCTGTAAAGAAAAAAATAAAAACCTTATACTTTGAACTAGAATAGGGCATGGATGGTTGCAAAAAGTCCGTGAGACCAGTGACTTATAATGCTAAGTCTATGTCCATAAAGACTGTTGAAGTTTGTAAATTTGTATAGTTACGAGATTACGGCTTCGAGTTTTCAACGGCATTTTTCTTAGACAGCTGTACCTTTACCCTAGGGGGTTTCTAAAGACCTGGGTCAAAAGTTTGTTCTAAAATACGAGTGATTGCTAATATTCCCAGGGTGGGGCAAGGCGGGGAGGGGGACACCTAAGGGAAGTGTAGGTGAAGGTATGCCTCCTAGGCCTTCAAACTCCAACCCTGTTTAATTCAGTCAAGACACAAATCGTTTAATTCGCCGCCTTGATTAAGACTCAAGACCCTATTTGACCACACTCTGTTCAGCGACACATACCCGAAAAAGAAAAATAGAGGAGTGTCTTCCCAGGGTAATATCTCATGTTTGCATAACTAGGATAAAATGTTTCCCGATTAGAAATCTTCAGCTTCCCTTGTGTCCTGACGTATAATCATAGTCCGTCACGTACAGCACATTGCAGGAAAATGGCAAAGAAATGTCAAATTTACTTTGTATCATTAATTAACTAGCTTTTCTGACAGATGACAATCATACTTTACTTTCTAAGTTTGTAATGTACTTCAAGTTTGCAAATGAAGTTTTAAACAATTAAAGACTAAATTTTTTTCCTTTGAAACGCCATTGTCCTCGGCATGATTTTTTATTCAAACATTGAAGTGCAATGGACAGTCATTCCAATATTTAATATACATCAGAAAAATGTTATTGTTTGATTTCTATTTCTTAAACCAGTCACCAATTTACCAATTATTAAGGAGTTTCAGAAAAACGTTTGTGACACATCAACGTGAGTTGCTGAGACAGTAGTAATATTTCAAGATGTTAACGACACTGGGGTCTTTCTGTTTACGACATTGTTCTCAAGGGCATTAAAGTAGGGACCCAAGAATCCATGAAAATCCTTGAGGTTACACTGGATAAAAAGTTAACCTTTAGGATCATATATCAGAGCAACTCAAGAAGGTATATGCCAAATCTGCAGCGCTTATACTCATTAGGCGTTTACTTCCACTAAGGTAATGATGAGTCTCTTAACTTCCTTTGGTTTGCCGCACTTAAAATATTGCAGTCCCCTCTTATTAGGTGTGGGCAAAGTGCAAGCAAGTCGTCTCGAGGACGCTAATTTTTAAATTTTGAGATCTAGTTTAGGTTACGGTAAAACTATCTCATATGAAACATTACGTGGAATATCAAGAAAACTCTAAAGCATAGGAGAATATGTAGCTCACTTTTGTAACTTCATAAATCTTTATTCTGTAACAGACCTAGGAACATTTAGAGATTTTTCTGGTTTAAAGGTTGAACCTATAACTTCAGAGGAAGTGGTGTTGATCTTAGCACGCCAAGGTTTAATCTTAACTGGATGAAGAACTCTTTCACTACCAATTCGCTAAAATCTGGTATTTCCTTGAACACCATCTAAGGAAAGGAAACCTATCCAAGTTTTACGAAGTCGATTAAAAATAAATCATTTTAATTCGATTTTCAATCTTGTATATTAGAATCAGCTTTTATCTATTTATACGTATTCATAGCAATTTTTAGTCATCATAATTCTTATAGTGACATTCGCAGTTGTACATTTTAGTTTTCATGATAAATCTAGTTGTTGTATATGTATACATGTAATATATTTTTTATTCTCTTGATGTTATGTTAGCACGTACGTATTTTGAACGGGTTTTTTAGCTCACTGGATAAATAAACGATTCATTGATTGCTTGATTAAACTAATCTAAAAACAAAAACAACTCTTTCTCTATAATTCTGATCTTTTTCACGACATACCTTAGAGGTAAATGACTGTCCGGATGCTGTACAAAGAAAGAAAATAAAATTTAGAAAAAACAATCAAATCCATATATTTTCCGGTTCAGAGAGCGAAAGATGCGACTAAGTTCGTCTTGCCAAACAGGTACTGATCATGACTGTCCCGCGATGAGGGCATGTTTTGCTAAGGAGTACTTTGTAAGTGCAATTAAACCATCCAAGGCTCCGTTTTGCCACGAACAAAGATACGAGAAGGGTGGCAATTTCAAAAAGTAAGGCGAGTTATTTTTCTAAAAATTTGTGTCATCGTGTATAAGACAATTTTCTAAAAATGATTCTTTTCTGCTTTGATCCATCCACTGATTCAATTGAAATCCAAGTCTTGATGCTTTAGGTACACTCGTGGAAGTGATAAAATTACACGCTCTTGAACAAACTTATGGCAATAATTCATGTGACACAGTGCCCCTCAAAACTCCGGTCATTTTGCGATGTAGGCTGTCATGGCGTTTATAGTAAAGAACGTTTGTGACTTTAAAAAAAAGGGAAAATAATATGACTGTTAGGCTTTTACGCTCTGTATAAAAATTTGAACTGAATCACTTGACATTGTTTTGTTATATAGAACGTCAAATAAATTTACCAATACGCAAAAAAAGGCCACAAAGAGGTTTTGATTACCACCTCCAAAAAGTCTACCTATTAACATCGAAAGAGAAATTATGTTAACTGTAAAAGCTACAATTTGTTTGGTGACAAACCTTTTCCCATCAAACATGACATCAAAAGCTTCATTTATCTTATCCAGGGGCATCGTGTGAGTTATGAGCTTCTCAAGACTTAATTTTCCAGCCATATACTCTTGCGATAGTTTAGGGATAATTTCGCTTGCAACGCATCCTTGCAAACAAAACAAAGAAACAAAAAAACGATAGAAAGGTAAAAACCTTTTATTATAGCCGAGTTCGAGGTTTGTATTGGAAGAGGGTCCAGAAGCCGGGGTAAAATGGGAACTGGGATTTGCCTTTTTCTGTACTGGGAAAATGAGATTTACTGTACTGGAGCTGGGATTTAACCACTGGGAAAGGGATAAACAATTTCACCGTAAAATTGTAATGGGATTTCCCTCCTTTCACGATCTTCGACTATATTATTTGACGCAACTGCTCAAATGTGCCTACTTTTTAACTTAAAATAAATAATATTCTGTACCAGTGACCTCCGGCAGTAAGTATGATCGTGTCCGTCTTTTTTTCTTTTTTTTAATTTGCCTTTGTGTCCAGTGCAACGCCGCAACTCCGTTATCATTAAGCTGCTATGGTCAGTTCAGCGATTTGTTGTCATGAGAGGGAATGACATGTGCATGTTTGCGCGTGACATAGTTCAAATGTCGTGGAATTGAAGCTAATTGAAGATTCTGCCGCAAAGAGAGGATTTGCTGATTAAGTAGCAGAAATGTTTCATGTGGACCACGTTGAAACAGGTTACCCCAAACAAACGCCGTTCGTATCGCTGACTATTGAGGAACAGATGGAAATGTTCAGACGAAGTGAATCGCTTTCTTTGTTCATCCGAGTAATCAAGCGAGTGTCATGCTTTCAAAAAGGAACAATAAACAACGCCTTTAATAAAAGTTCATCGCGTTCAACCTCAGGCTCCACTAGTTGTGACACCCCTACATGGACGGACAACGCAGTCAATAACTTACGTGGGTAAAAAACACAAAAAGTAAACAAAGACCGTTAGAAAAAAAAGTTGGAGTGAGTTGCCTCTAACTTATGAGAAACTCAAGGGGTTCTCGAAAAAACAGACGATGTGAGATTGGCAGACAATGGTAAAAGCATGAGATGCTTGCTTTATGGTAAAACAACCAAAATAGACAAAAGAAAGAAGTCAAACAGAGGCCATCTAAAGTATTTCAGGTGTGTGCATGTGTGCTCTGCTCGGGTCGGTACAGAAGCTGTAAATACAAAGACAAGGAGGAGTAGTGAAAGTTAAGATGACAGAAGTGGTGTTAATATGGTTATGCAGACAAGGGATGGAAGAGAAAGAATGTTCACCAGCAGAATGAGAGATTTTCTTCAGTCCAGGGGAAGATACATGATCCAAACAGCATCAATCAGTGCTACTTCATTATGCGGTTCAGTTCGCAAATTAAAATAAGCCCTTGAAATGGGATTTCAGATTTAGTGACTGGGATTTAAACCAATGGGCTGAGAACTAGGATTTGGAATCTCTTCCTCGAATCTAAAGGTCTCTGCTGTCTTACTATGTCGTTCAAAACAAAGGGATTATAATTAATGTTGACTCATACCTCCAAAGAGTGATCCTATTATATTCTTTCCCATCAGCAAATGATCAGGATTTACTGACAGTTGTTCTTGTGCCACGCCAACTATAACAGTTGTTCCCCAACCAACATGACTTGACTCAAATGCAGCGCGCTAGAAATTCAGAGAATATTTAATGAGTATCATGTTAGCTTATAGTGGGAGGGAAGGGTGGGTGAAAATCTAACCCCGATATCCTTACCACGATTAATACACTTTCAGTCTTAAATTACCAGAATTCCTCTGCTTTTTATTATGGTCTCCTAGATTGTAATTAATTGATTCTAATCCTTAATTTTTCTTGTGACTAAAGTTTACCTAGACCGGAGCAGTCTCTTACTTTTCTTTTTAGATTCAGTGGTGTAACACGTAAGTGGCGATCGACAAATTAAAGCCGCAAGACGCAAGAAACGACGCCCTCGTTTCTCGCTACTCGCGGCCTTGCCGCTAGCGCCGTGTTACATAAAATCCCACTATCTATACCCCTTCAAAGAGGATAAGACTTCTCCCAGTCTAAAAAGAACATAATGTTCGAGAAATATGCGTTAACTGTTACAAACAGATCATAGACGCATTTTTTTCCTCTCTAGTACCACGATGACTATATGGAGGTAGACTTGCGCGCTTCATGAGCAAATGTTGGAAAGCCCTTCTCTAATCTCTGACTAGATGCATAAATACAATGTTTTTAACCTTCGTACAACCTTCGAAGACAACTTCTACGTATTAGAAGACAGCTATGGAGACGAAATAACACTAATAAATCTTAACCATTGTTGCAATGTTTCCAATGCATTCAATCGTAAAGTCCAGTCCTCCTTCAGTCATTTCAGTTAAGACCTACAGAGTCAAAAGTACAAAAGTGAAAAAGAGCTTATATATATGACATTGTGATCGGCAAACACTTAGTAAATCATGGGAATATCAGTTCTCAGTCGCCGGGCTGTGTTCAGTATCCAACTGGGCCGTTTGTTGCTCAGTTGTTGCGGCGTTAAGAGCCAAGTGAGTCTGTCTGTTAGAAAAATAGACCATTTTCACAGTAGTGTGCTTAGTGCCTTGGGGGCCCGTTTCTCGAAAGTCCCAGTAACTTTACGGACCCGAAATCAAATATTTAAATCGAAATATAAAGAATAAGAGCAGGGGTTCTGGCAAGCAAACTACTCCATTTTGTTTCATTAACTGATAGTTTTACCATGTTAGATGCAAAACTATTGAAACCTCGATCTTTAATGTAAACGGAGACAGCTTACCGGGCCCTTTAATTATCGGGACTTTCGAGAAACGGGCTCCATGGCCTTTGAATAGGAAAGGGGCTTGAGGTGTCCCTTTTTTGTTCACGGGTCTGTTAGCATGAGAATAAAATAAAGACGATCTTGTTCCCTGGATCCCAGGTAGGTAAGGTTACCCGCTTAGGTGACTCGCCTGTCTATATAATCTTTCCTATGATTTTAATTTAATCACGGCTGTATGGTAGGCGGGGTGACCTTACGAGAGATTATATGGACAGGTGGGTTCCCCCACCAAAGCGGGTTACCTCACCTACCTGGGGTCCCCCACCTCTACGTAAGCAGGCTCTTAGTCGGCGTAGCCTTCGAACCAGGAGCAAGGAGGCCTTCGCGGGCTGTGAGGTATATACAGTAGGCTCTGGGGACAAGAATTGTTCTCTCTCAGCAATAATATCGGTTCCCATAGTACCTGGACGTTTTTTAGATCAATAGGTTATAGCTGGGACGAGAACTCAAGTGTAAATTGTGTAATTTTTTGAAGTGCTTAGAAGTAAGAAACTCTATAAATCCTTCGGAACAACACTTTGTAGAAAGGAAAATGGGATAATACAGAAATTAAAGAAATTGATGGTCTTGAATTCGGCGAGGTTTGAACTCGCGACCTGTAGACAGGATCTACCAGCGCTCTACCAATTGAGAATTTAGGTATTCATGTATTACTAGGTATTTATACTCGGAGTCACTGCAGTGGATCAGAGATTCACTGTGTGAATTACGGAGAAGCATGTGCTGGAGACTAATTGCTTTCATTCAGGATGTTTTATTCCGCTCTCTCGTCTACCAAATCTTCTCAGTAGAGACCTTTACATCAGGCTGATTTAGCAACAGAACGGGAACGTCAGCTGACGACGGGGCGCGCAAATCAAACAGCTGGCTCGGAGCAATGGCCCAGCGGCAAATTGGGCATCGGAAGTCGAGTTTAGTCCTTACTGCACGCTTTCCCGTCGTCAAATGACGTTGCCGTTCTGTTGCTAAATCAGCCTATTAAAGGACGAGGAGGAGGTTTAACTTATAGTTTTTTAGAATGATGACGGCTATAACATTTCCCGCCAAAATCACCTTAGTATTGAGAAAATCTCGTCCTCATAAACGCCTTCGTTTTTAAAAGGGGCTGTTAACAAAAGGCGGGGGGGGGGGAATCCTAGAACACGGAACAACTTTCAACAACTAAGATCTTTCTAGTATTAGCTAGGATCGTTCTACCTCTCAGCTTGGAAGATCCTAGCGCTAGGGATAGGTAAAACTTTTTGCCTGTAGACTGAATACAGATGAAACATATGGCGCCAGGATGATCCGCGTTCTTGGATCTTCCTGGTGCTAGGAGCTTGCTCCCTTCATGTGAACAACCCCTTAGAATCAAACGGTCTTTAGCTAGTATTATGATTTATAAGACAATATACGTTGAAACCAGGTTAAAACAAACCTGCTGGATAGGTTTATCATAATCTTTAGGGTTCATACACTCAGTGCAGCCCAACTCTTTTGCTGGAAGAAAATAATTACAAACAAACCCCGTTAATACGGACACCGCGGGGGCAAAGAAACTGTCCGTAATAAGGAGGTGTTTGACTGTACAAAACATCGCAAGTAGAGAGGCAGGTAGTCTCCCTCGCAGCCGTTTTTAGTATCGTCACGCAACGAAACGGCTGCGAGGGAGACTAAGAGGCAGGGGGAAATTGCAAAAATTCGTTTTCTTTGATTTTATGTGTCTTCAATCGGATTAATATTGAATTTTTAATTTTTTGACTAATTTTGTTTTGTTTCTGTTTTTGATGGTGTTTTTGTGGTTGTTGTTGTTTCGCTCTCTTTCGTACAAGAAAGATGAAACAAAACCGGGGACAAACAAAACATTTCAACGGGATCGGCGTCCTTGAACAGCCATGGTGGGGTTCTATAACCACTGAGCTAAGGAGGAACTCCCGGGGGGTTGGGCCGAGTCTTAGGGCAAGCTCTCGCGGGTGGCTGGAAATCACGAGAGCCGTAGGTCACGCACTTTGCGCGTGACGCACTTGACTCCTCTCCTCTCGCGTTCTCAAATCGTGTGCTTGCTCTCGGGCAGGCTTTGTCTACGCTATTTAACAGAAATTCATATTGTGAAACGCGTCTTGCATACTTTCTAGGCCGACCAGCAATCTCGGATGCATCTTGTGCGATGATCAGTTGTGAAAGAAGATAAATGCTAAGCTCGGTGAATAAATCATAAAGATGTTTTTTTTTTTAAAAGTACCACCAACCTAAAGGAAATTTATCAGGCTTAATATCAATTCCAATTATCCTCGCGGCACCAGCAGCCTTGCAACCCATCACTGCAGAAAGCCCAACTCCGCCCAGTCCCCACACGGCCACACTAGATCCAGGCTTTACCTAGAAAAAGAACAAAAAGAATTCAGAGCTCTTAAAAATGAGGTGCAACCATCACCAGGGGTCAATTTAACAAAACTTTTACAAGTGTAATTTACAAATGTAGCTATTGTTTTCTGACTCTAAAACAATGGCTACACTTGTAAAAGTTTTATTAAATTGACCCTAGGCCAGCTACATCACCTTAGCGGTTTGGTAACAGGCAACCCAACCGTTGTGTAAGAGTTTGTAAGGGAAATAAAACTGACCATTCAAAAATATTTTTAAACCGAGAAAAATTCCTAAGTAAAGTGTAGGTAAAATGTTGCTTGTGTTGTTTCTGCCTTTCTACAGACTTCAGCACGATTTGATGAGAGAAAAAGAGTCTTCGTAGCTGGCCAACGTTAACAAGGTTATTATGTTATCTCTGGGCATTGAGCAGGCTGTTTACAAGTCATGGTCATCTATCTGGAAACGGGTGGCAATAGTCGTCGTATCGTAGTAGCATGTAACGCCACTTTTTACCCTTAAAGGTCTCACTTGAAGCTTTGCGAGGCGAAATAAAGAAAGCAAAAGAAGAAAGAAAGAATCAATCACAACGTCATTATTATCGGAATTAAAATAACTATAGCTCTTATTTGGCTGTCCGCCCCACCCATTTTTGAGGGAAAAGCCCTGGGGACGAGGTTGGTATATGGGTAAAATCAAGCTTGAACCACGCCCAGATTGGTTTAATTTAGGGGTTTAATTCCACTTTTCTGAAAAGGCACTCCCGCCCCTAGCCTGCAAACGCAGACTTATTTCCGGTTGGCGCTTCTCTCCACCCGAAAAGGGTCGAGGGAAGCGACGACTGGAAATACGTCTGCGTTCGCAGGTTATCCTGCCCCTTTCACATCACTTCCGCACATCGATCAGTGTTACATTAGTATATACGATGTGTGTTGTGTTACCTTCGCGGTGTTAATTGCAGCACCATATCCAGTGGTTACACAACAACCTAGCAGGCAGGCCTTGTCCAGTGGAACATCTTGAGGTATCTTCATGAAGAAAAACAACGTGACAATGACGTGGGGTTATGTCCTTGTTAGTTACAAAGGTATAGCTATCATTTGCCGTTGAGAAGTGCCAAGCAATGATGCTTTAAATTGTTGTGAGCTACCTTGGCAATGGCCCGATTTCAATATCACATGACCCTTCTAACGGTGGGGAAGGCTCGTTTTGGATAGTACAAAATAAAAATGGCGTTTGCAGAGGCTTCAAAACAGTTTTCGAGCGATTCAAAAAGTCATGCGATGTTGAAAATGGGCCATTAAACAGTCAAACCGCGTTAATACGGAAGAGGCCAAAGAAAGTGTCCGTGTTGACGGGGTGTCCGCCTGAAAAACGTCACCCTTTTCATACAAACAAATAAAAGAGGACATTAGCATCGACAATTTACACATCATTCTCTAACCTTCACAAACCCGTCATTCCGCGGACTAAGTCCATGGAAACACTCAAAAATTGTTCGTCTATATACTGTATTACTTAATCAAAACAGTTCTCTGCATAACTTGTTTGATGCATGCCAAAGTAGTCTGAAATTGACGTCTACGAATCATCCGGTGTATTGTAGCGCTGGGGACATGGACATGCTGTCAACTGAAGGTTTTTATCACCTTCAAAAAGGAAAGGTCTATTACAGCGCACACCTGACAATGAAGTATCCGCATTAGCGAGGTTAACTTTCGATGAGAATCTGTTGATTGGGCATGAAAAAAGTGTCAGTTACCCGCATTAATGGGTGTCCGTATTAAGCGGTTGTCCGTAAACCGGCCGAGTTAGACTGTAGTGTTCTTTTGAGAAGGTCAAACCTTGCACAGGTTGAGTAGTCCCCGCACCTACCTTCACAACAAGTATTTCAGGAACGACGATGTACTCACTGAAGGTTCCAAGCCTGGTCAATTGCTTTATACTCTTTCCTTTGCATGTCATCCTTGTTGTTCCATCAAGCAATACGGCTTTATCAAGCGCGAAACTATTGTAGAACATTGGACAAAATCAACGGTTAATTCCACATTAAAGTTTAAATTCAATTTGTTTCGAGGGAAAGAAAAAGGAAAGAAACTAAAGCAAAAGGGAACGGAGGAAGGAAGAAGGAAGAACGGAAGGTAAAAATAAGGTTATACGGATCGCGTTTAGGTAACATTTTATTTACATTTACCTGCTGCACAGATTGGTCAAAGGATTCTGGCAAAGCTTACATTCTCCACAATTAAGGACCCAGGTTAGTACAACATGGTCTCCTAAAGACAACGCAAAATAAGTGATATGTACGGAGCTTGTATCCTCTCTCAGAGTAAGGTTTAATATCCTTAATAAAAATCAAATATTTGTTAAAATGTACGCCGAAAAGTTCGGAAAAGACGAACGTGTTGAGTGCACTTCCTCTTCTTTTCTCAAAGCAGTTGCTTGATGGAACGCCCTCGAAACGTTGGTTTTTACCGAATTTTTTTAGCGCATATTTTAACAAAACCTGTACGAATAGTTTCGCTATACAATTTCTTGTAAATTTTGTGACACTTAATATCCTCAACCAAACCCTTGAAAAGCAAATGTTGGTCTGTCTGTGCTTAACGGAGTAGGACTGGCACTAACGGGCCATCACAGAGAGGTTTTGCTTTGTAACGGGAAGATGACTGCAGAATACTAAGTATAGGCGTTCGTTTTAGGGGCATATCCGTCTAAAACACTCATTTCTTTCACGGAACATATGAACCCACAATTGACCTGCTCCCAACGTCAGTGGCTTCATAGCTCAGTTGGTAGAGCATCGTACCGGTAATCGCGAGGTCACGGGTTCAAACCCCATTGAAGTCCTGAATTTTTTTCAGGCTTCTTTACGCAATTGCATTAATTGCGTTCACTGCGACGATCATTTCTTCATTTTCATAAAAGACGTTTGTTGTCAAGAGAGAGAGTTGACTGCATGTATTTATTTACCTGGTTTCACTGTAGTGACTCCTTCCCCAACGCTTTCTACAACGCCACTTCCTTCATGCCCCAGTACAACTGGAAAGAAATCTCCTTTGTTTCCGCTCGCCANAGCTCAGTTGGTAGAGCATCGTACCGGTAATCGCGAGGTCACGGGTTCAAACCCCATTGAAGTCCTGAATTTTTTTCAGGCTTCTTTACGCAATTGCATTAATTGCGTTCACTGCGACGATCATTTCTTCATTTTCATAAAAGACGTTTGTTGTCAAGAGAGAGAGTTGACTGCATGTATTTATTTACCTGGTTTCACTGTAGTGACTCCTTCCCCAACGCTTTCTACAACGCCACTTCCTTCATGCCCCAGTACAACTGGAAAGAAATCTCCTTTGTTTCCGCTCGCCATTGTGCTGTCTGAATGACAGACACCTGTGTTGATCATCTTGATTCGCACTTCACTCGCTTTAGGTGGCGCAACCTCAACTGTTTCTATGACAGCGGGCTTGGCAGCCTCCCAGGTTACTGCGGCTCGGCAAGATATCGACTGTCAATAACAACATAACAATTGTAGCAGGAGCATGAGGAATTCCTTCCTTCCTTCCCCTCCCCCTCCCCCCTCTTTCATTTTCTGGTTCTCGTTTCATTTCTCGCGCGGTCAACAGTCAAAACCGAAAATCCCCTTCCACTGTCTTTTTTACTCCGAAACCAAAGAGAAACGCTTGCTACCTAGGCTAGTTTTACTGAAGAACCACATAACATAAAAACCGCGATGGCAATATCCTTTATTTCCACGACGACGCAAATGGCCTTTTTTTAAAGTCGTTTAAAAATTGTAATACAAATCGCATGGCAAATGTCACGCTTTTTAACGCAGAATATTTTGGGAGCCTTCACGTACTCGAATGACCTTTTCACAGATTAAGAATTGCATCCCTACTGTAACGTAAACCTCTTTTAGAAACGGAATATTTTTGGAGAAAAAGGCAATAAAACGTAATCCTCTCTTCACAATTCAATTTGCCCTACTAAATTAACAGCGCGCTTAAAAGAGTGCGTTATAGGTGAAAAACAAGAGATGGCTTACTCGAGATAGATTATGATGATCATAGCAAGACTAAGTAAAATAACTGTGAGGTAAATCAAAGATCGAGTGCCGAAAATAATAAAAATAAATAAATAACGGTTTAGTTGTAGCACTCCTTGTCTATGATTCCGGATCGAATTGGAATTAAGAAAAGTTGGTTTGTCAGGAGAGGTGGGTACCCGTGCCATGTTAGTGGAAGGCGAATGTTCTCTTACAAGCACTAAGCCGCCCTAATCCCCACGGTGACCACAGTGTCTTTAAGACAAATTTGTATACGTGCTTTCTTTGGTAGAATGATAACTTGACGAACTCTATCACGCCGGGTCCGGTTTCGAAACTACAAGTAGTAATGTCCGTAGTAACGTGTTGTTTTAAAAAGCCAGAGTGTCCGTCGCGTATGAGGTGCGTCCTTTCTGTCCTCGATGATCATTGTTTTGGGCGTCACATAGCCTCCCACGGGTACAGTTTGGATCAGAAAATAGCAGCGCTTCTGTTTTCAGTCCTGTTGATTCTCGCCGGACAAAATATATACTGCGGTTTCTTTGTGAAAAACAGAGAAGAAGAAGTGCGTGTGCATGAGTTAATTCTCGGGTGGCAGGCAAGTGAGTACGGCTTCTATCCTGCTATCTGCTGAAAGTAGTTGGTTTTTTCGGTGCTTTGCGATTTCGCAGTATATTGCTATTACTGCAACATATTTGAATCTGAGAAACTATCAGCTCGCCAGTGCGTGTATAAAAATATAAGCCTTACCTTTCCTTCTGTCTCCGACATTCTAGGAGAGGCGATTATTGACATGTGAAGAAAGTGAATTGTAACGCGATGCTGAAAGCAATGCTACCTACCTTGTAGCGACCAGCGTCCAGGGGGCAGCCGTTACGGGTGTCTGTATAACTAGGAACAGGCCCGGAACACCCCGGAATACCTCGGAATAGCCCGGAAAACCCCCCGACAGGCCGGATGCTTGAGTGAAAGATAAATAATTACCGCTCAAAACCTTACAGAGATGTAACTGAACACAGAAAATACAAACGGACGCGCGGATGAACAAAAATGGAGATGATTTTCAGGTCTTTTTTGCAACCTCGTCCCAGGTTCTCTCTCTCACGCTCCGTAGGGACGGGTAAGACTGAACCCTGGGAACGTGGTTGTTCTTTTTTGTTCTTTGTAACGTTTGAAATGGCTGTGGGTGTTTTGCTCACTGCGTCACGATATAGCCTCTCTATATCATCTTTGAGGTTTGGCTAATGGATTCGGTACCACCGAGGCCCTCAAACCGTTTAAGACAGAATCTGTTCGTTTGCTACCCTTTTAAGACAACAGACGTTTCTTCGTTTCCCTGATTCAAGTTCCCAAACTCATTAATAATTCACATAGAAAATTCAAAGGAATTTAATGTTCTTTGGAAATCAGGTGAAAAACTGCTCATCTTTGCATCTTTAATTTCTCCTTCTAAAATGACATTTGTTTGAGAAGTAATAATACCAGATGACCGGATGAAACACCTCAAAGTTCGTGAAAAATACTCCGCTTCGCCTCGCATATTTTCAACTCCGAGATCTGATAATGAAACACTGCGTCACATGCTTGATACAGCTGTTTCGAGAAATGTTGTCAGAAAAAAAGCACGCGACAATCCTGAAAGGTATTGTGGGTGGTTTTGTCTGCCCTGTTCTCCGAAGAAATTTGAAAGAATGGCACGAGAGGCCACGGACATATGTTCGCAAGTGCTAGTGAAAAGCAACAAAAGTAGGTTCGACAGCTACAGTCGTTAGGAACAGTGTATTGATCATATCCCATATTACCTTTCGGGGTTGTCGCGTGCACATTTTACCTGACATTCTTTCTCGAAATAGCTGTACATTACTTCGAGGCATTCAATACAACAGGATGCAAGTCCAAATAAATCAACCTGTCTAAGCATGCTCTGTTGGGTGGCACATATAACCGTTTGGGACTTATATGGACGTGCCTCCCCTCGAACCTATCGTACAACTAGAAATCTAAAACTCTCCAAAATTTTTTTAAAAGGCAAATTGCAGAACTTATTTCTTTGTTTATTTCTTTATAATCTCTCTCTCAAAAAAATTCAAATATCATTCAGATGGAGTCTGGGCGACCAGTGACTACATGCAGCTGCATAGTTACGTAGTACACATCAAATCAGATAGTGCACATTTAGACCAAATGTACTTAAAATCCCACATAAGACAGTCTAACGGAGGGGTGGGGGGGGGGGTTCAGGCCTTTTTGGGGGGGGGCTCCGGTAAAAGGGTGCGATTTTGGGTCCAGCTTGGCCTTTTTTCTCTTTTTTTTTCCTTTGCCCTTTAGTCACACCCCCCCCTCTT